TGGCACGCCCCGCACTCAAAAAAGAAGAAGGACCAAAAACTCCTTCAATCGGCCTACCCGGCCGAAAAGAGGGAAACAGGTAGGAAAGTGGGGATTTGTCCCTGAAGTTGATTTGAATGAAGGTCAACAGTTTGCACTGTAGAATTGTATAAAGGAGGTTCCAGAGTAACCAAGGAGTTACAAGAAAGATTTAAGGTATCAAGTTGATTGGAACTCCAAATCCAATGGGGTATCTTGCCCTGGATATGGTTTTCTGAAAGGTCCACACTTGATAATGTGGATTGATTTCTCAAGAAATATGGGATTGTTCTTAATTTGTTAGCAGCCAAATTCAATGAAACAATTTGGGGAAATGAGGAATATGAGGAATCAGTACCATTGTATAAACTCAGCAAGCTATTGTTTGAAAGATCGATGTTTGTAAGATATTTCAGCTGTTGAGGGCCATTGAACGGAAAGGCACTGAAATTGTTAGAAGAAAGACGAAGTGATTGAAGGCTTTGAAAATTAAATATAGACACCGATATTTGTCCTTCCAAATTGTTGAAGCTTAAATCAAGGGTAACTAATTTGGAAGAGACATTAGAAAATGCAAGTTCACCAGAAAATTGATTGTGGGAAAGGTTTAGTTGTGACAATAAGGGAAGAGAAAAGAGTGACGACGGGATTGATCCAGTAAAATTGCATTTGAAAAGATCTATCGTGGACAACATTTTGAGGTTGCCAATTGATTCAGGTAGTGACCCTGAAAAGTTTGTCTCACGTAGAATCAACGACCAAAGAGATCCATTATTCTTGGGAAATTCTGGCAAGAAACCACCAAGTTTAAAATTACCCGAAAGGTCAATAGTTTGTAAAGTAGGTACCTGAAAGATCTCTGTGGGAAATGTTCCATTCAACTGACAACCACTAAGACTCAAGGAAGTCAACTTTGAAAAATTGGCAAAGAATCCTGGAATTGGATCGAAGATGGGGTTGTAACTCAAGTCCAACTCCCTCAGGTTTGGAAAGTTGGCAAAAGATCTTGGAATTGGACCGGAGATGTCATTCGCCCTCAAGTCCAACACCCTCAGGTTTGAAAAGTTGGCAAAGGATCCTGGAGTTGGACTGGAGATGCTGTTCCAGCTTAAGTCCAACTCCCTCAGGTTTGGAAAGGTTGCAAAAGAACCTGGAATTAGACTGGAGATGTAGTTCCGTCTCAAGTCCAACACCCTCAGGTTTGAAAAGTTGGCAAAGGATCCTGGAATTGGACCGGAGATGTTGTTCCAGCTCAAGTCCAACTCCCTCAGGTTTGGAAAGTTGGCAAAGGAACCTGGAATTGCATCGGAGATCATGTTCCGGCTCAAGTGCAACACCCTCAGGTTTGAAAAGTTGGCAAAGGAACCTGGAATATAAGAGATGTCGTTCCCTCTCAAGTCCAACTCCCTCAAGTTTGGAAAGTTGGCAAAGGATCCTGGAATTGGATCGGAGATAGTTTCGAAGCTAAGGTCAAGACCAACAACATGCCCATTGCTAGTGCAATTAACACCAGCCCAAGAACAACAGTTGGTGCTTGAATTCCAAGATTTGAGCCGGGTTGAATATGATGGATCAAATTCAAATTGAAGGCTTTTCTTCAAATGGAGCAACGATTGTTGCTGGTCTTTAATACACTGGCTGTGAACTGCAGGGAGGAGGATATTGAAGCAGAGGAGGAACAAGTAATGCAGCAAAGTTTTCATTTTGGAAAAACCTTTTACTTTGATAGACGCTAGCTGATGAGGGAAAGTTTTGATAAGAAAGAAAGTCTGTGCTGTCTTTAATATATACATATCATTATATGTAATTAAATGCATGGTATAATAGAATTGGAAAAGTACACCACTTAGCTCTGATGTCTTGACTTTGAAGTCTTCTACCAATATCTAATCTTGTAGTAGTAACCAGGAAAATGGGATAGAACAAAAATAATGACGTTCCTGGAAAAAGGCCTCCACGTGATTCATGGTTGGCTTGACTTGTTGACTTAAAGGTCTTTTTTTTCTTTTCCTTTTTAAATTGAATAAATCGTACAAATAATACAGTGAGTAATCATATCTTTCATGATTATACATATATATTTTATCTTAAAAAGCAACTTTTAAACATCAATCTTAGGATTATGTCAATTTTATCATTATTGTTTAAATTAAATCTCTTGCAAATCAAGAGCACATTATAAAGTTAGTCAAATTTTTTTTCAATTCAATCTAAAATACAGGACTCAAACTGCTAAAACTACAAGAACCAAGGTGGAAAATTCCTTATAAAAGAAAACCATTAGTTCCTAACTACCCTACTATAGGTAGCACATTAGTTTGAATTTTTTATATTTTTCATTCCGTTGCTAAAATTATATTTTTTTTTTGTTCTTTTGTTTTTGTGGAATGAGTCAGTGTAGGTTAGAAATTGAATTCAGAAGGCTTGATTGGTTCTTATTGTTCAACGAGACTAATTATACTCGACCATATCTCAAGTTCTCAACTAATTCTTACTAAACTTATTACGTGTAATATTTAAGCGTTTATCCATAGTAAAAAGAAAAATTAAAAATAACATATTAATTGTAGGTTTTGTTGCTCCCAAAAAAATGAGCCGGGTTTACTACACTAGTGCAATATCAACTTGCATTATGCATGCAGTACTTTTGCTTACTTCCTAACCACCAGATTTTAATCCAGAAATTCTCAATGCATTTTATTCCAAGTTAAACTCAATTAAACTCGAATTTTTAAATATTTAACAACCAAAAGAAGCAAACTTTACACTTCTTTTTGCAATGGGATATTGCTATCTATGTCGGATTGAGAGACTATGAACATTGTGGAAATTGTGATGTGAGTGTGATGTTGATTTATGGATTGACTTGTTGACGTTAAAGTCTTGCCCTATCTTATGTAATAGTGGACCTAACTACAGTCTGTCTACTTGGATTTTTGGATGAGTACTGACTCGGCCAAGATCAATTAGTCATAGCTCATGGCCCAGTCGATGAAAGCAGATGATATATGTGGTCTAGGATTCCCATTATATCATATCCATGTATATGCTCATGTTGATTTATGGGTTGGAAGAGGAATTCTCCATAATCTTGGATTGGATGATTGGTCCGACCTCAGACACGAAGATGCTCAGGAAATTTCGAACCCAAGAGCTCCATAATCTTGGATTTAAGTTCGCATAATGCTCCTGATATTATATAACTGTTGAGAATATTTGTCCCATATTGAAAAATTAAGGGACTAAACCTGGATTTATACGGAGTTGGGCTACTTCCCCATTGCCAATTGATTTGGAGGTCCCCCAAATTTCTTCAATAACAACTTTGCATATCATTTAGTTTTACCCACCAACCTAATTTTTTTTGGGTTTTGTAGAGAATGTGGTACCATCCTTCGAACCCAAGACCACTAGGAGTTAGTGCAAGCGCACTTAACCACAAGGGCAGGTTGAAGGCCAGTTTCAATTACATGCTTCACCATATCAAAAAAGTGAAAGTGTAGTCAATTATACAACATTGGACCACTTTAATTTTTTTTTACTTTTTTTTCTAACTTCCTTCAATTAACTAATTACTATCAAAAGAAAAAAAAAAGTGAAAAACCAAGTTAAAGACTTGTTAATGGTAACCATATTCACTCTCATATGACGCATAATCTATAGATTGAGAATTTTATTTTCTAAAAAATTAACGAGATGATCTCCTTAGTGGTGTGGATAGTCCTTTGAAATTTAGTTACAAAATTTGCATACAGTGATTGTATTATACTCATATTTACAAATTATTCACATTTAATATATGTATCTTTTTACCAAATTTTTAAATAATACAAGTAAATTTAATGTATTATACACATATCTTTGCACATATTATTAAGTAAAAATACTACACTCTAAAATTTTGAAGAATTAATAGGGAAATAGCGGTATATACCCCCAATTTTATAATCTTAACTAAAAATACCACCCCCCCCAAATGTTTTTACAACTAACACCTATAAATATAAAATTATTGTACACTTATTGCTCACCTAACACTTTTTCTGAAAATCACCTCTCGCGAATCAGCTCTCTCTTTGGCTCCGTCTCTCACAGTCTCCACTCTCTGGTCACTCAGCTCTCACTCTGTCGTCGCTCGTGGCTGAGCTCTCACGCTCTCAGTCTCTGGTGGCTCAGGTCTCACTCTCTCTTCTCTCTTCCTCTCCCAGCGGAATCCGTTAATTGAAGATCAATGCCATCGATTACATGAACCAGGTACTGTTCATCGAAATTTTTTTACGAAAAACGAAGGTTTTATGGGTTTTTATGAAAATCGTTTATGGGTTTGTTTGAAATTGGTTTAGGGTTTAGGTTTAGGGCTTTCTCTGAAATTGGTTTAGTGAGTT